TGAGGAGCAGGAAAGGGGCTTTAGAAGATCCTGGGGGACTTTGCAAAGGAGCCAAGCAGATAAGAACATAAAGTCTCCGATTAGTTAGAATTGCCCTCATCCCCATGCATGCTGCAGACATTCTTCAGGATGCACTTTGCTGGCCGGGCACTATGGGCCTCTGGTCAGATGTCATTGGGCTTCAGTGTCCTGATAGTGGTGGTGATTATAACATACCCATTGCAAAGTCAGGAGGTATAATGAGTCCCAGAGAGCCAGGGGAGCCCCATATGAGGGAAGTGCCCATTTACTGGACGTTCTTAGGAAGGAACCAAGAGCTCTATGGATCCATGAGCAGGTTGTCTGACTGCCATGGGGCTGTCACCCCACCAGGGCCTCCCCAGGGCCTTCCTTTCCTTACTTGTAAGATGGTACCAGGCCCAGCGACAAGCTTCAGGTATGAGTGGCGGTGGTGGCAAACACCAAGCCTCATGGGACAGGGGAGGAGTGGGCCCTTCTCCCCCCCACCCCAATGGGACTCTGAGATGACGCCATATCCGGCCACCGTCTACTTAAGCTCCCACACAACCATGATCCAGAGACATACAACTGAATCTCAGACCTGAGCAATTTGCTGCAGCAATCTCTTCAGACCCTAATTATTAAAAGTTTAGGATTCCTATATTGCATCCATAACAAGCAATACAAAAAACATTGTCTAGGATTGCCTTTTTTGGCAAGTGTGAGTGGTGGTGGGACTGGTGTCGAAATATCGAAGGTAACTAAAATAGAGAAAGAAAATATTGTGCAAATTGTCTGCCACACAGGCAGGGGGAGGTGTGGAATGGGGAGGGGGGATACTTGAGATTTTGGTGGTGGGAAACATGCACTGGTAAAGGGATGGGTGTTTGATGACTGTATGATCGAAGCTCAAACATGAAAGTTTTGTTACTGTACCTCACGGTGAATCAATAAAAAAAAAAAAGTAGTACCAGGCATAAAACGGTTCACCAGTGTGTTTCAATTATGTGTCCGGCACACAACACACACGTCACAGATGCGGAGTGTGTACAAGCCTCGGGGGATGTTTACTCTGGGGTACGCTCATGACATTCTGACAGCGTTCAGGATAGACTTCCGGCAGCAGCGGGGAGCCAACGGGGCAGCAGGGACGCCGACATTTACTCATTTGGCACATTGGGAGTATAGCAAGGACGACAGCGGCCAGTGTGCTTGGCGTCCATGGCTTCCTACGTGCTGGCCCTGCTGGATGTCTATCAACTTGTTTACTTCTCAGACCCCATGAGGGAGGTGCTCTCTTCCAGTTTACAAAGGTCGAGTTTACATACGGGAAACCAAACGCACCAAGAGGTTAAGCTGTTTCCCCAAGTTCACATAATCCAGTAAACAGTACAGCTGGGGCACTTAGCCCCTGAAGCACGGGCTTCCCCGGACCTGCCCGTCAATTCCGCCAATCGAGTCTAACCTCCCCCTTTCTCGGAGTCCTGAGCAGCACCTAGAAACAGGGGGCTCAGGAGAGGACCCAGCACAGGCCTGGTGGAGGAATGTGTGACCGCACGCTGAAGGTGGGACCCTCGCTGTGGAGTCGGAGCATGGCCGAAGGAGATGGAGTGTGGCCTGGCCCTGAAGAATACCACGGCTGGGATGGGAATGAGGGCGAGTCTGCCTAATCCAAAAGAGATTTTAAGTTCTCATCTGTTTATCTGACCATCATCTTCTGAAGCCGCTTTCCTGCTCGTAAACAAGGTGGTTCTGTTGCTTGGGACACACTGGAAGTCCGTGTCAGGACACCTGAGATGATGTGTCATCCAGAGACTTGGGAGTTTCAAAGACACCCTCCTTTTGTCTGACTGACCCCGGCCTTGCATAATTGACTAAGATTTATGGAGGGGGGGTGTCAGCCTTGCACACGGCCAACCCGGGTTCTATCCCTTGCATCCCACATGGTCCCCTGAGCACCACCAGGAGTAATTCCTGAGTTCAGAGCCAGGAGTAACCCCTGAGCATCACCAGGTGTGAGCCAGAAAGTTAAAAAACAAATTTATGGATCGTTCACGTTTCTAGAAATGAGCAGAAAACTGGGGAGCAAAGGAAAAACAATCTCTGAGCAGCCAAAAGAGATGTCAAAGTCCATCCACAAACACAGGCAGGTTTCTTTAAAGTTTGCTGTTTCAAAGAGCATAGACTTTGGAGTCTGCCTGCTGGCACCACTACCAGCAGCCCTGGAAACTCGGGCAGGCCCTGGAGTCTCCTGTCCTCAGCTGGCCCATGGGGACACGACGATCACCACTGCAAAGCTGTCGTGAGGAACAAGGAGGGAAAAGATAGAAGGTGCTGCATTCCCTGCCTGGCACCTGAGATAATTCAGTGGTCACTATCGTTCGGTTAGAGCATCTTCTGGGGTCCCTTGTCCCCCAAAATGTCTTTATATCCCTGAAGCTCCATCTTTGGTTTGATGACAACTCTACAGTTTCATCACAGAAACACGGATGGTTTTTGACTTTTTTTGCATTTTTGCAACTTAGATAGCAGTGAATCTGGACTTCTTATTCACAGCCCACTAGGTCTCCCCCCAGAGCTCCAGACAGGCCTCTGACAGAAGATGGGGGGTTTGAGATGAGCTGAGGAAGGAGCAAGGCAGCACAGAGAGAGGTCTCTGGGGCCACACATCCACCAGAGACTTGGGCCAGTACACGGGAATGAAGCTGATTCTCACCCAGCCGCCATGCCTGTCAACCGCATAAAGCCCCCACAGGGAAGCAGGCAATAGCCCCATCCATGCTCTCTGGGGCTGGGGACTGACCAGCTCAGGCGCTCCCATGCCCAGTGCCAGGCACACATGTTGCTGATGGACATTGGTCACTGCTGAAGTGACACAGGACTCTAGGATACACACAGCACTGTAATCAATCAATCAATCCTGGGCGTGCGTGCCATAATTCTGCTCTGTGAAAGCTACGGCAAGTGATCTAATTTTTTTCAGATTTTTTTGAAAAAAAAAAAACCAGCCTGTAATGTTGTTTTGCGAAACAAGAACTTAAAAACTGAATGTGTCTGACCAATAACATGCTCAACAATCATTAAGTTATCATTATCATCACCTAGGGTGAGATTTCCAAAGGATGAAGACCCTTGGCAGAGGGGTGAAGAAGTCCAGGCACCGCAGAGAGGATACCCATTTTTTAAGTTAGATTTAGAACAAAAAGCACAAGGAAAGGATGGGCCCCCTCTCAAGGGAAGATGGCAGAAAGTTAACCGTGAATGATGCTGAAATTATGCAATAAAAGTCGATTGTAGGACTGGAGCAAATAGCACAGTGGGTAGAGCGTTTGCCTTGCACGCAGCCAACATGGCTGACACAGGTTCGATTCCCAGCACCCCATATGGTCCCCTGAGCACCGCCAGGAGCAACTCCTGAGTGCATGAGCCAGGAGTAACCCCTGAGCATCACCAGGTGTGGCCCAAAAAGCAAAAAAAAAAAAAAAGAGAGTCGATTGTAGGTCCAGAGAGATAGTACAAAAGTTAAGGGGCCCTGCCTGTGGCCTGGCTAATGACCCTGGTTCGGGTCCCAGTACTGCATAAGGGACTCTAGGCATCACTGGGTGTGGCCGAAAACAAGCAAGAGCCTACCGTAAATGAGAAGGCTGTTCAAGTTACAAAAAAAGAAATAAGCACAGTTGGGGGGAAATTCAGTATTACCAGGAAGGGGGCAGGGGAGAAGCAGCGAACACCTCTTTAAGTTGGTTTTGTCCTTGGGCTTAACAATGACATCAGAGGACATTCAAATAACTTACAGATGTGATCAGTGCGTGTAATCTTGAGAACTCCGAACAAAAATTTTCCCAACCTTCCAAAGGGATGTGTGTGTGTGTGTGTGTGTGTCTATGACGTGTGTGTGTGTGGCGGGGGAGGGGGTCTGGAGTAGATTCTGGAAATTGCAAACCGCTGAGTTTGAATGTCAATCCTCAACTAAACAGAAGGTCTGAGAACATTCAGCAAAGGACAAGCTGATGACTAGGAGCTATCTGGGCTCTCAGGGCACGTCAAACTCTGCATTCTTTCAAGGGGGAGTTCACAGAATGGCGAAACCATGGCTTTGATCTTGTAAGGCCACCCGTCTACCTAGTCAGCACGGACCAACCACTTCCCTCACCAGGGGTCTAAGGATAACCATGGTGCGGCCAGAGAGGCAGTGCTCCACGCCATGGCAGTATCCTGTGATTGGAACATGACACTAAAGGGGTGTCGCTGCCAGAGGAATCATCCCACCCAAAGCATTGGGCCAGGCCACCGGGGGGGCTCTGGGCTCTGTTCTGGCTCGGGTCCTGGTCTAAATTTTGATCAGGGGCAGCTCTGGGAGGCCCCGCGGATGTGCTGGGTCCTTGAGCCCACAGCAGAGGACAGGCCCGGCAGAGGGAGAGGGTCACAAGTTGCGGGGAATAGAATTTGGACTCAAAATGGCCTTGAGAGCTTTTTTTGGGGGGGAGGTCATACCCAGCGATGCTCAGGGGTTACTACAGGCTCATGCTCTCAGGAATTACTCCTGCTGGTGTTCGGGGGGGGCCATATGGGATGCTGGGAATCGAACCTGGGTCGGCAGCGTGCAAGGCAAACGCCCTATCCGCTGTGCTATCGCTCCAGTCCCCTTGAGAGCTGTTGGACTCAACAGTGGGCCCCTAAAAATGGAACCAGGAGGAACTGCACTGTTCCCAAAGTACCAGGCCCGATCCCAGAGCCCACTGCGAGGGACATGGCCACTGTGGGGTGGGCGGGAGCTCCGGACTTCACCTTGAAGGCCAGCAGTGGGGCCGAGAGTCGCTGGCACAGAAAGGCCTGGCTGAGGTCACTTTCCTCGGTCACTGCCGCAGAAGCCAGAAGGAGGTTGGAGGGGATGGGGGGTGCGGGGGAGGGCTGGTGAGGTGCCTCTTTGCAGGGAGCTCATTCATACCACAGCGACCCCCTCTCGGGACACCCCCCCACCCCGCTCGGCTCCCTGTTACCTTCTCCCCGGGCGTGACAGAGATGCGCCAGACGCAGTGCATGTGGGCCGAGTAGCCGTTGGGGTACTCGGGCGAGGAGAAGTTGCCTGTGCTCTCTTGCAGGGTCTCTCCGCAGGCTGTCGAGGAAAGGGCATGGCTGGGGCTCTGACTGCTGCCCCCCTGCCCAGCCCCCAACCTCTGGGCCTGGCCTCCCTGAGCCCTGCATCCTTTAGGGGTGAGGACAGCTTGGATGGGCACCCCTGAAGTCTCACATTCTCCTCCATACAGCACCGCCTGGCTACCTCCGCCCAGAGCCCAGCGGGGCTGCAAGGCTGCCAGCCAGAGCTAAGGCCAAGGTCCTTTGAAGGACACCATTCCTTTTTTTTGGGGGGGGGGGTCACACCCGGCTACACACAGGGGTTACTCCTGGCTCATGCACTCAGAAATTACTCCTGGCGGTGCTCAGGGGACCATATGGGATGCTGGGAATCGAACCCAGGTCGGCCATGTGCAAGGCAAACGCCCTACCCACTGTGCTATCGCTCCAGCCTAGGACGTCATCCCTTGAGCATCGCTCAGGTCCCCCCCTCGCCACCTCCCAATCCCCTTGTAAACAGCTTCCATATCTCACCACCCCCTGATCTGGTCCACTATGGGCCTGAACTTGGCATGGCCGCCCTCAGTGCCTGGCCCCTACCCCCGGCTCCCAACTCCCACCCGGACCTGGGCACTTGTAGAGCTTGCGGGCCTGAGCGATGTCCCCCTTGCTGAGCCGCGTCCTCTGGCCAATGGGAGGCTTCACCCCATTCACCTCATACTTGGGGACAATCGTGTCCAGGAAGATGCCCCTGGGAAGGAAAAGCCCAAGAGGGTGAGTCTGCAGGAGGAGAGGGGGGCCGGCTGCCCGTGTGCACCCCGGGTTGTGACCCGGCCAGGCCCAGACATTCCTCAGCAGGGTCAGGGCCGGGCGGAGACTCCTCACCCTGTCATTATGCTGCCCACTGACCAGTAGCCACCCTGCTCCGTGGCAGCCACACCAGGCACCGGGGGAGACCTGGCCACACTCCGGGCAGTCAGGGACACAGCCCATCATGCACTGGATACCCAGCGGACACCCAGGGATCCCTGCAGAGCCCAAGGTGTCTGCTGCTGCCCCCATCCTGCGCTGACCGTCTCCCACTAGGGGTCCCCATGGCCCATGCACCCCTTTGGAGAGCAGCTGCTGCCCACAGTCCCTGAGACAAAGTCAAAGGGCTGGTTCCACCGTGACCACAGCAGACCAGGGGCCAGCCCAGCCAGCTCCCAATCCGCCAGTGGCCATGGCTCCCCCCCGCCCCCACCGCTCCCTGTGAACCCATGTTTGTTGGGGTGGAGGTGGGGAGCCCTCGCCCTCTGCCCTCCCCTGCGCCTGAGTCACCGGGGCTGGGTGGAGCTCGGGTTCCGTGGGGGGCTGTGGGAGTGGGGAATGACCTCACCACCCTTCTCTGGGTCAGCCCGCAGATGGGAGGCAGGAAGTGGGTCTGGAGGGAGCGTCTGGCCAGGGAGGGGAGGGCAGTGGGGGACAGCCAGGGAAGGGGTGGAGGTGAGGAAGGGCAGTCCGGGAAAGAAGGCTGAGGAGGGGTGGGAGCCGGGGCAGGGCGGCCTCGGCCTGTGACTTCTGGGAACCTGAAGCCTGAGGAGCTATGTGTGCACTTGTGAGCTCTGGGTAGGGGCCAGCCACCCAGAGAGTTCAAATCAGCCAGTTCCAGCCACAGACCAGTGAGCAAAGGGGGTGACCGGTTTGAGCAATGCACCCCCACCCTGCCTTTGCCGGGCTAGCAGAGCACCCAGCTGGGCTGGCGTGCACCTCTCAGTGAGCGCCCGGGCTTGGGCATCCTGGCCCACTCGGGCGCCCCTAAGGAAGACCATGGCCCTCTGTGTGCGGCTCCTGTCCTGGGCGCAAAGTCCAGCAGGCAGGTGAGGAGCCACAGAGGGCAGGGCTGGGCTGCCCCGGGACCGGAGGTCGGGCGCATCCCTCACCTGGAGAACGTGTTCCGAGCATAGTGCATGATGCTGTCGAAGTCGTAGGTCTCCCCCAGACTCTCCACCTCCTGCACCTCCATCTTCAGGAAGTTATACTCCTGCCCTGCGAAGACCAGGCAGAGAGGTGGGGGGCGGGGGGGGGGGATGGTCCATGCACGGCAGTGCTACCTTCCAGGGCGGGAACAGGGTCCTCCCCAGGCTTGAGAGCTGCCCCCCTACCTGAGGGTCCAGGGAGTAGCCAAGGGGAGTCTGAGGGGAGGGGAGGGTCTCTAGAAGAGTCTGTTCAGCAGAGGGTGGGGTGAGAGGACTTGCTGGAGAGAAGGCTCAAGGGAGTGTGGGAAGAAAGGGCCATGTCTAGAACCAGAGCGAGACAGAGGCATTGAAGAGTCGGGGAGAATTGGGGGAGGGTGCGGGGAAGAGAGAAACCCCTCAAAGGACTGCAGAGGTGGAGAGCAGAGGGCCAGGACGGCAGGAGAAGGGCAAGGCAGAGCCTCCCGGGACCCCACCCTAGAGGCCACTGTAGACGGGGGTGGTCAGGCGCAGGGCCCAAGCCTGCCCCACGCTCCACTCCAGAGGCGATGCCCTGGGGTGGGGCTGTCAGGGCCAGCCTGGGCTCCCACTGTGAGTGCTGCCCAGTGCTGCAAGGCGGGGGTCCAGGAGCGGCATCTCCTCCCAACCCACCACCAGGGGGCCCCGTGCCGGAGCAGAGTGGTGGTGCCCACCTGGCTGGATGTTCTCGCGCACGATGGAGACGTGGCGGTCCCGGTCAGGCCGCGTGTGCTCGTGCCAGAAGCCGATGACGTGGCCCAGCTCGTGCACCACGATGCCGAACTTGTCACAGTTCTTGCCGATAGAGATGGCCTGGGGGCCCCCACCACGGCGACCCACATAGGAGCAGCACCTGGAGGGCGGGGCCAGCTCAGGGGGGCGGTCCCGAGCTGGGGGAGTGCATCCACTCAGGGGCCGGGCGAGGCTGCCAGGGGGCAGGGGAGCGGGGTGCGGGGTAGGAGCCTGAGCCTGAGAACCTCAGCTGACACAGCGGGGGTCAGTGGCGTGGGGATGGGGGGAGAGGACCCCAGCAGGAGGGGTCCGATGGCGCGGTGCCCAGCACATGGGTTGGAGCGCGGGCGGAGGGCGGTGTCCAGGGGCCCCTGCTCACCCGCAGGGCCGGTAGGTGAACACGATATAGCTGTCCTCATCTGTGCGCTCCAAGAAGGTGACACAGGTGTGCTTCTCCCAGTGCCTCATAGCCTGCCGGAAGACGGCCCTCTGGCTGCCTGCCAGGACCAAGGAGGCCAGGTGGTCAGCGCCCCTCTGCCCTGGGCAGACGGCTCCCGGCCCGGGCAGTGCCGCCCATCATCATGCTTACCAGTGAAGTTGCCCCCAATGACAAAGGGGATGACCCCATCCGGCCACACACGCTCTGGCCTGGACGTGGCAGCTCTCCGGCTGCGGGGTCGGCTCCTCCGCCTCCCCTGGCTTCTCCGCTGGGGTCGCCCAGTGGTGCTCTGGCTCTCCAGGGCAGAGGAGTTCCCTGGGATTGGAAGAGGGAGATGGTGGGAGCAAGGAAGCGGGGGGAAGAGAGGGCAAACCGAGGGGAAGGGTCCTCAGGAGTGAAGGCAGCGGAAAAGTACCGGTCAGCGGAACTCAGTGACCTTGGCTCTTCAAGGTCATTTGACGGCATGTGTAGGAAAGGGCAGAGTTCCTGAAGGTGTAGATGCACAGCTGCAGGGTGCGGGGCGGGAGGAAGGCCAGGATGAAGGCTGACTTCCTTCAGCTCCTACGCTGCACGGATTTTTCAGTCTCTTGACTTCCATGTTTTTGCATTTTGTGCATTTTTCTTACTTTTTGGGTCATACCCGGCCATGCATAGGGGCTACTCCCGGCTCTGCACTCAGGAATTACTCCTGGCGGTGCTCAGGGGACCACATGGGATGCTGGGAATCGAACCCGGGACAGCCGCAAGCAAGACAAACGCCCTACCCGCTGTGCTATCGCTCCAGCCCCACATTTTGTGCTTTTTTGGTTTGGTTTTTGGCCACACCCAGCAGGGGATGCTCAGTTCCTCCCAGCTCTTGCTTGGTCAAATGGAGATCTCTCCCGCATGCGAAGCATGTGCTTGGGTCACTGAACTCTTTCTCCAGCCCTGCATTCTGTGTCTCAGCAGCGCTGAATGCTGTCCAGGGTCCCCAAGCGAAGAAGGCGGTGACATGCCCAAAGGAGCTGGCACACTGATCAAGCTCCTGCAGGGTGCTGCCATGCTGCCAGCCAGGGTCTGGGTCAAGGAGCCAAGTGGGTATTAAAAGAGGGCACCGTAGCAGAAACACCAGGCTCTGCACTGATGTGCCTGTGCCAATGTGGACCCTCAGCCTGTGCTTCCTCGAGGTCCAGCGTTCACGCAGCCTCCAGAGAGTCACCATCAAGAAGAGCCAGAACTGGGCTGGAGCGATAGCACAGCAGGTAGGCCATTTACCTTGCACGTGGCCGACCCGGGTTCGATTCCCAGCATCCCATATGGTCCCCTGAGCACCGCCAGGAGTAACTCCTGAGTGCACAAGCCAGGAGTAACCCCTGTGCATTGCTGGGTGTGACCCAAAAAGCAAAAGAAAAAAAAAAGAGCCAGAACTGACTCAGTGAAAAATCCAAACCTGAGTCCTACTTCACACAGTGGTAGTGCCTGGAAACCGCGACATCGGGTAAAACACCCCACAATCCACCAGGATTTACCACAGACCGAGAACAGGAATGGGTCCACCTCAGAGGGCAGAGTTCTGGCCACAGAAACATCGCCCGACTTCTACCCAAAGGATGCAGGCTCCCCTAACTTGGCGCAGTGGCCTGTGTTCATTCCTTCATGTTCCAGCGTGCACTTCCAGCCCGGGTGCAGGATGGCCAGAGCCTTCAGAGCTCAGGACGTGAGGTTGGGATGCACTGGCTTCTTGTGGGGGAAGCTGCGACCTCTAGGTGGATGCAGGGAGAGCAAGCATGCTTCGCACACGAGAGGCCTCGCTGGCAACTCCCCTCTTTTCCTGGTCAGCGTCCTAACAAAAGGACACTGACCAGAATGCCCCTGCTCCAGAACCCGCTGTGGGACTCTCTTCTCCTGCCCTAGGGCCTGAAAAACGTGCCCTCCTCATCCAACGCAAGCCCCTACTTGTGAACCCACAGAACCGGATGTCTTCTTCCAGCTGTCCCCAGTGTTTGCTCTCATGGGACACAGTGATTCTCTGGGGTGACTGGGCAAATGCCACATACACAGCTGGCATGTGAGGAAATATGGTGGTGCTCAGGCATGCCCCAAGGGCTACAGTGCACACCCAGAAAGCAAAAGCCTCCTGGTTTGCTTCCCGCCCCCCCTGGGCCCCAAACATCACCAGCACCATGGTGGCCCCAGCACGGCTAAGCCCAAAGCAGAAGTGGGCTGAGGATCATCAGAGTAGTCCTGGGGCCCCCAGCACTTGTGAGACGCCCCCACAAAAGAAGGGAGGTGGGGGGCAGCTGGAGCAATAGTACAGTGGGTAGGGCATTTGCCTTCCACGTGGCTGACCCATATGGTCCTCCGAGCACCGCCATGAGTAACTCCTAAGTGCAGAGCCAGGAGTAACCCCTGTGCATCTTTGGGTGTGACCCAAAAGAAAAAAAAAAGAAAGGAGGTAGGTCTGGGGCTGACAGTGTCCCACTTCCTCCACGTGCTCTCCTAGGCCTCACTGCAGGCCACCAGGCCGCCCGCCCCTGCTGGCTACTCGAGGATGACTGGACCTTCGTGGACTTCGTGTCCACACCAGGACCCTGCAGCTACCAGCTCCCACTCGGGTGCGCCCAGGTGAGAATCCCCGCCCTCCTGCAAAGGGAGCCCTGCTGGGGACAGACCCACAGTCCAGAGCCGGGGCGGACTGCACAGGACTGACCCAGCCGAGGCACTCACTGTCCCTCCCCTCGCCCACTCCACAGAGCCAGATGAGTTGTTCGCTGCGTGGCCACAACCAGGACAAGAAAAAGCCAACCCTGTTCTCGAAGATCACAGAGTTGAGCCGGGAAACAGAACATAAAGAAAAGGATTGCAATGTGATGTGATGAGTCCAGATGAACGGGGTCGGGCCAGAGACGGCACAGGAGGTAGGGCACAAATCCCCAGCATGATATGGTCCCCTAAGCCCTGCCAGGGGTCACTCCTGAGTATAGAGCCAGGAATAGCCCGTGAACATTGCTGGATATGGCAGGAAGGGAGGGGGAGGGCGAGAGGGGAAGGGAGAGGGAGGGAGGAAGGCAGGCAGGCTAACAGGGAATACGGAGAAGAGAGAGCACAGAAAGTGGCGTTACTGTCGTGTCCGGGGCATAATCAAGCAAGATTCCACAGGAGGAACTTCAGCTGGGCTCTGAAGTGGTTGAGCTTGTGCAGAAGGAGCAGTGGAGAGCCCAGAGACTGTCGAGCAGAATCTCAGATTTGGAGTGAGAGGCTTGGGGGTGGGGGGGGATTCCAGCTCTGCCCTGACTAGCTGGCGATGCCAGGCAACCCTCCTGACACCCATGAATCCCAGCGCCTGTGTCTGAGGAACAGGAGCTTTCCGGCACATAGGTGGATATGACCCATCAAGTTAAGAGGATGCTTTGAAATTCCTTTGTAAACTGTAAGCGGAAACTAGTTCCAGCTCTCAGTTTCAGGTATGTTTACGTTTGCTACCCCTCTGGGAGAGGGGCAAAGGGATTCCAAGGACTATGGACAGCAAGACCACAAGGTTAACGCCGCTGTACACACACTACCTAAGCTATTGTAGCACTGCAGCACTGTCCTCCCGTTGTTCATTGATTTGCTCGAGCGGGCCCAGTAACATCTCCATTGTGAGACTTGCTGTTACTGTGTTTGGGATATCCAATACGTCACGGGGAGCTTGCCAGGCTTTGCTGTGCCGGCGAGATACTCTCAGTAGCTTGCCGGGCTCTTCGAGAGGAGCAGGGGAATCGAACTTGGGTCAGCCGGGTTGGCCACGTGCAAGGCAAACGCCCTACCCGCTATGCTATCACTCCAGCCCACCTAAACTATTATAATTTTTTTTAAAAAAAGAAAAAGAAAAAAAGAAAGAAAAACCCAGTAGATTTTAAAAAGAAAGCGATCTCAAGGGAAGTCAAATAATGGGTTCAAGCTCCTGGCCTGGGAGGGCCTGGCTGGGAACAGGGAGGTTCCTTGTTCCTCCCGCTGCAGGAACTCATTTCTGGGACACAAGAGGGCTGGCTTACACCCACTGAGTACAGTGGGTGTAAGGGGCTTTTTCGGTTGTTTTTTGGTTTTGGGGGGGGAGGAGGGAGAGACACACCTGCCATGCTCAGAAGTTACTCCTGACTCTGCATCAGGAATTATTCCTGGCAGTGCTCAGGGACCCTATGGGAAGCCAGGGATCGAACTCCTGGCAGTGCTCAGGGACCCTATGGGAAGTCAGGTATCGAACTCGTCTCAGCCACGTGCAAGGCCAACCCTGTGCCCGCTGCATTATGGCACCAGCCCCGTACCTGCAGTTCTGATGGAAGCCTTGTGGCTGGCGTGCTGTCTGAGAGCCGTGGCCTGCTGCGCTCGGAAGGCCTGCAAGTCCTCCTCATCCAGGGCAATGTCCCCGAGGAAGGCAGCTAGAGAGAAAAGGAAGGGGCCCGTCAGTCCTCTTACCCGACGCAGGCGCCCCGCACACATGAGCACCACCTGTAACCACTCAGCAACCGTAATTTCCAAACGCCTCCGATGGCCAACAGCTCCCAGATGCTCCTGGGCGTGCCGCTGACGCCATGGCTCCGCGACACGGACAGAGGGAGCGCCCACCTTGGCCAGGGAGCGCTCTTTAAACAGTCGCAAGACAGAAGAGACCCCTGTTCCCAAGGGGCCAACCCTCAACAACACACAAGTCAACGGATTCCAGATGGGGACGGAGACTCTGAAGGGAATACGAGGACACCAGTCTCTCCTGGGCCGTACTCACACCGCTCACTCAACCAGCGTCCTGTGTGCTCCGGGCCGGGGAGGGACAGACACCAGGACACTCAGCGGAGTGTCCCAGCCAGGAGGAAAGGACCGCACGCTTCTCAAGGGGATGCCAATTCTGGGGTTCTTTCCCTGGAGGACGAAAGGCCCTGGGGTGGGGAGGAGTAGGGGGGAAAAGCCCCCCCTAACGGGTCATTTTAATTTGCAGAGCTGGGGAGTGAGGCTTCAGGAGGGATGAACTGCGGCCAGACTTCGTCTGCTTTTTTGAGATGCGGGGGCCAGGAGCAAGCAGGGCTGAGGCCTAGGGCTGAGCTCTTTGGAAGGGGCTCAGATGTGTGCTTCATGCTGGGCTGGGCTGGGCGTTGGGGGGGGGGGGCAGCCAGTCTGGGCTGGAGGTGGGGCAGCTTCCCTGCAGCTCCGCCCAGGGACACATCTGCTTCTCATTGAGCGTGGCCCAGGCCTGGCGGGCAGCAAACACAAATTGTTTTAACCTTGAGGCCTTGCACACAGGTTTCTCTCCCCCAGATGGCCCACTGGGTGGACACACACCCACATCCCCCCCCCCCCACACACACACAGAGTTCATTAAACACACACACAGAGTTCATTAAATACACACACACACACACACACACACACACACACACAGAGTATTACACCCAGAACCGGACACAGGGGGTCAGAGTTCCTATAGACACGTGGTATTCTCCACACCCACTACTATCACACACGGCGCTTGTGGGGAAGCATGGTCTTCCCTTTGCAGACTGAACACCACACCATGCCACGCCACACACACACGCAGTAATGTTTGCTGAGATAACACACCATTCACATCAATACTCTTCAGACCTACAAACACTTTCCCAGAGACACACACTCCTTCAGACGGGAGGAGACCCGGACCAGCAGAAGGTGGACTAAGGATTTCCGAAGTTTCCCAGGAGGACCTTCCATTCTGCAGATAAGGAAACTGAGGCCCAGGGGGCCGTGACTTAGCTGAGACTGTACTGGACCTGTAACTCCAGCCTCCTGGTTTCCAAGCCAGCGGGGACTGCACTGGCCCCTGTTCATGGCCCTCCGGTGGACTCCATTTTGTGAATATATACATCCACAAAAAGAGACATTCGCAAGCACAAATAAAGACGCCTGTGGTCACAGGGAGTCCTAAAACACACATGCACAAGCTCCAACACATACAGGCCAACTGCAAGCTCCAACCCATCAGACCGGCAGCAGAGTGGCGTCCTGCAGCAAGAACATGGAGAGCTCCGTGGTGCTTTCCCAGGTGACGAAGTGCCTTCGCAGGAGTGAGTTCACCGGTCCTGGCCCACCCAGGACATGCCCAATAAAGCATACTCCACCCATGCATTTGCTTAGGAGTGTCCCATTACAAGCTCCTGAGATGGTAACAAGTGGCTAGCTTCCAGCCTACCTCCCTGATTTTAGAGATCAGAACACTTGGGCTGAAGACAGGAAATGACATGTTCAAGGCCACCAGCTGCCACGGGGCTCTGAGTCTTCCACTACCTGAGAAAGATTCTTATTGCAGATGCCCTTCTCACTTGTCTTGGCCCAGTCATGGATGACACGGCAGAAGTCGCTTTTCAGCTCTTGTGTAAGGGTGGCCTCATCAAGGACTGGGCGGCTCTCTCCTGGGGAGCCAGACAGGAGGGGGTCCTCCCTGCCCACGTGGCACAGGCATGCACCTGCTGCACAAACGCCCCACACCTCTGCACACACACAGCCCTGCCTCCCACCCCACCCCCAAGGGCCTTGCCATCTACACACACAGCCGGACATGGCCCGTGAACTAGCTTTTGGCATCAGACAGACCTGCCTTTGAATCTCAGCTAGCTGACAGACCCTCTAAACCCAACTGTATCTCCCTTGGCCTCACACAAAAAGGAGTTTCTAAGAGAATATGTCTCTTGGGGCTCTTGCTTGGAAGAAGCCTATGAGCAAAGCACCTATCGAGTGGGGGCAAGGGCTCCAAGGGTTGGGCACATGCAGTGCATGAATGGGTTCAATCTCCGGCACCCCGTGATCCTCTGGGCACTAGCAGGAATGACCCTGAGCACAGCAGGAACTGGCCCTGAGTACCGGGCTTGCCAGAACAAGAAGCCACCAAGGAGCTGGTGGCCCAGCCAGCACCCACCACTCCCTGCTCACGATGAGTATCACCTACTTACAACCCTGCAAGCTCAGGTCCATCTTTCCACTGTGCAGCCCCAGGCAGGGGCTTTCCAGCTGCATGAAGCCCCCAAGTGCTCAGAAACACACTATGAGTTTCCACTGCAGGGCCCAGGGGTAGACGGAGAGGGCAGGACCCGCATTGGTGCTGTCACAGTGGAAGAATGCGTGGGAGCCAGGGTTGGGTCGGTCGGGAGCTAGGCCCAAGGGCCAGTCCGTGGACCAGTTCCCCCGGCAGCAGCTGGGATTCGGGTGCTCATCCTGCCCCATGAGTAGCCCTGCCTGGGTCAGAGTCAGGGAGAAGCTGTTTGCTTGCTGGAGGCTCATGGCTGGGAACACAAGCCGAGCCCTGTGACCCCTCCAAGGTGGCGTTGGGGGCTGGAGCAATAATAGCACAGCGGGGAGGGCGTTTGCCTTGCACACGGCTGACCTGGGTTCGGTCTCCAGCATCCCATTTGGTCCCCTGAGCCCCGCCAGGAGTAATTCCTGAGTACATGAGCCAGGAGTAACCCCTGAGAGCACCGCCGGGTGTGACCCAAAAAAGAAAAATAGAAAAAAGAAAAAGGTGGCTTGGGCCCCACATGCACAGCTGAACTCACTTGCCCTGCCAGAGCATGACCCACCTACACATGTGCGCCAACACACTTAACCCTTTCCCTGCGTTAGCGGTGTTTTCAGATAGGCACAAATGCAGCCCCCCCCCAACACACACACACACACACACACACACACACACACACACAGAGCCCAGGAAATACCCTTAAAAGGAGAAGGGTGGAGAGGAGAGATGGAGAGCAGGAGAGGAAGAAGGGAGACTGGCCAATTCCCAGACATCCCGGGGGCCCTAAGGAGTAGACTCCCTGCCCACCCCCCACCCCCGCCCCAGTTCTTGGCTGTTCTTTCTCCAGGGGAGTCCCTGGTCCTTTCCCTCCAAGTCCAAGGAGGTGGTGAGTCTTTTCCTCCTCCCCCGGGGGCAGCTAAAAGAGAAGGTGACTCAGGGAGCAGGGGCCTAGGTGGTGGGTGACTCATCCCTGTCTGAGGGGAATGTGGTGAGAGGAGGAGATACTCTTCCAGCTCCAGAGCCCGCTGACCCCCCTGAGGCCGCTGATGTCTGAGCCGATGCCCAAGGGCCCCCTGGTGAGGCTGGACCAGGCTGCCTGAGGCCTCCTCGGGAGCAAGTGTGGCCTCTCCTGCCCCCAGGCCCTCTAAGAGTCCTTGTGGGCTGAGCAACCACCAGGTGCTCGGGGAAGGAGATGGCGTGATGGCGTGACAGCCCAGCCGACACACAGGACAGCAAGGCTGACTCCGGACTCCCGGGAGGGCACAAGACGCACCTGGAGGAAGCAGTTGGGAGCCCAGCTCGGGCAGCTGCCTGCCCGCTGTCCTTTCTGGTCCACCCAGAGACACGGGCGCCTCTGGACCTCGAGGGGTGCGTCTACCCTGCAGGGTAGGAGCCAAGGGACCGACCATGCTGGCAAGGGGTCACCCGCAGTGAAGGGCCCGTGAGGCCTTCTCCATGCTGCATTCCTCATGCCCACTCTGGCGCAGGGCAGGGGGGAGCTCAGGGTGCTGTCCAGACAGCGCCAGGTCAGGCCTGAGGGGTCACGGGGCCAGTGCAGGGGGGAGACGGTAACAGTCGGGAGCTGCACTGAACGGACAGTGAGCAGGCGGCAGGATGCAGGACTGTCCCTGTCTGCACCTGAGGCTCAGCTGGTCAGGCTCTGTGGTCTCTGGGCCTTCCCAGATCTGGCCCAGCTCCCCACCAGCCTCCCCCTGAAGCCCTCGAGTCACTGAGCTCCAGGGAGCAGGAAGTCTGGGGAACAGAGCCCATTCGGCTTGGAAACACAGGCCCATTTCCAAGTAGCGGTGAAACCTGTCTACTCTGACCCAGCCTACCTCCTCCACGAGGACCCCCCCAAGCTTTCAAATTGACTGGGACCCATTTCTCCGCCTCTACCCCCCCCCCCGAGTGCTGCGGGGAGCAAAGGGTTTGTGGGCCAGACGGTTTCCGTCCCAGATGGCTCTTGTAGTTGGGGGGTTGCACCACACTAGGCTGTGCTCAGAGCTTACTCCTGGCTGTCCTAGGGGACCACATGTGGTGCTGGTGAATGCACCGGGGTCAGCATGTCCAAGAGAATCACATTAACCCCCGTAATGTCTCTCCACCTCCCTCCCCAAGTCAACGCTTAACATCATCACTGGTGGCTGGTTACTGGCCTGCGGGACTCCAAGCTCTGGAGGAATGCCCCAACCTCTCCCCAGCATCTCACTGTCTGAATACGTCAGGCCAGGCCAGCACATTAGGCGCTTGGGAAAAGTACATCAGATGAGTGAGTGAGTAAGGGACACTGGGACAGGTCAGGGAGACACTCCCTTTCCCTGAAAACCAAGCCTACGCCCTAAAATGAAAATGTAAAAATGAAAGGGTCCAAAGCACAGAGCAAAGGGTAGGCGACCAACATTTATTAAGGGTTTACTGTGAGTTACGCTCAAGTTGTTTCCCAGATGTTCTTATTTCCACTTTACCACCAAGTCTAGAGACCTATTACCAGCACCACCTTATGAGTGAGAAAACAAAAGGCCAGATGTGTGCATTCCCATGCCTGTGGAGGCACAGCTAAGGAGCCCAGGTCCAGGACCAGCCTGGAAGCCCTTACTGTCCACTCAGCCTCATGTCCAGTGAGAAAAATGACAGCTGACACCCAGTCCAAGAGTGCGACAGAAGGGGTTTCCTGCAGTTTGCTGAGATCCCAACACCCAAAGAAGGGTCCCCAGGGTAAGGACGGGAGTGACAACCGTGGCCCCTACACCCCCCCCACACACACACACCCCTTACTTTCCCCCACCCTGCAAACACTCTCAGGACTCCAGGAACTGTGTGCTGCCCTGCCCTGCCTGTGAGGACAGGCTGCAATCAGGCCGGAAGCCGGAAAGGTTCTGCTCTGCCCTGAGCGTTCCCGACCCAGACAGCATGTCCTAGACCTGTCCCAGGTCATCCCGTCAGTGACTTGCCATCTGGTCGGTCCAAAAGGCAGGACCCCTCCGAGTGCAGCAGAGTTGAAGGGGGTGACACAGGGTTTGAGTGCAAGTGCACCTGCACACACACGTTCGCACATGCACACACGCACCTGCACGCACTCGGAGGCACATGCACACCCCCCGCATGCACACACGCACCTGCACACACCCGTAAGCACACGCACACCCCTGCATGCACACACATCCCTTCATGCACCCATCTGCATGCATGTGCACACACATTGAGAGTCAAGGGCTGTGACCTCAGCCTAGTACCTCCCTGGTGTATGCAGGGGACTGCCCTGCGGTATCTGAGCGGTATCCTCCAGCTCTGCACCCCGACTTGGTTTGAGGGGTGGGAGGCCCACACACACACAGGACAGAGGCGGCCTCTAGGTCTGACTGCTCTGGCTTTGACAGCTATCTTGGGGGGGGGACCCGAGGGAGCTGGAGCTCAGAGAATCCTTGAAAACTTTCTCTGCTTAAGACTGTGTGTCTGAAGACCAGCCAAGCTCCCTGGGGATGCAGGCCTGGGGGCAGGGGGGGGGGGGGAGGACCGTGGGACAGATGTTGCCTCGGGGCGCAGCCCAGACAGACAGACTGGAAAACACCAGTGTCCTGCAGCCGAGGAAACACACACACACACACACACACACACACGCGCGCGCGCACAGACACACAGACACAAACACACAGACACAGACACACACACACACATACACACGGACACACACACAAACGGGCGGCTAGAAAAGTTTCCTGCGAGAGGAAAAGCGTCCTCGGCGGGCAGGTTTCTCCCGGGACGGGGGCGCTTCTTTCTGGGATCCCAGCGAGACCCGAGGCACAAGGCGGCGGCCGCGTCCGCCAACAGCAGCGAAACTTCGGTGCTACAAGTCCCCCCAAACTTCCCCTCCCTCTCTCCCTCGTTCTTTTGTTCCCCTCGGCATTGCCAACCAGGCAGCTCCCGGCTTCCCACACTGGACCGTCCTCCGCCCGCCTCCCCCCCACCCACCCCTCCCGAGCAGCTCGCGCCTCCCCGCGCGCGGCCCGCGCCGGCCACCCCGGGGCGGGGGGCTGGGGCGGGGGGGGGGGGGTCCGCCGGCCGGGGAGGGGAGGGGAGGGGCGCCTACCCGCCTTGCAGGGGTCTTTGTAGTTGAGGGGCTCCGGCTCGTCCTCGTCCCCCAGGTCATAGGTGTAGTCCGCCAGGTCGAGCGGGCGGCCGGGGCGCGGGAGGAGCAGCAGCAGCAGCAGCAGCAACGGCAGCAGCAGCAGCGGCGGCAGCGGCAGCGGCGGGCGGGCCACGCCGGGCATGATGCGGGCGCGCGGGCGGGCGGGCGGCGTTGGCGGCGGCGGCGGCGGCGGGTCGCGCCCGGACGCGGGAGCCCGGAGGGGAAGCGGAGACTGGAGGCAGGGGGAGGCGCTCCCCTCGCTCCCTCCTCCCGCTCCCCCGCGCTCTCCCTACCTCTCCCCCTTCCCTCGGCGCGCTCCCTCCTTCCTGTCTCCCGCCCCCTCGGCCGCCCGCTCGGCTTGCCCGCGGCCCCGGCGCCCCCAGCCTGCCCCGCTCCCCTTCCCGGCCTGGGCTCCCGGGCCCCGGCTCGCTCGCCCGCCCGCCGCCCCCCCGCCAGGGAAATGAGCTCGCTGGAGGGCGGGTTTTCGGCCGGAGCTCGGCCCCCCAAGGGCCGGGACCCGGCGGCGAGCCAGCCGGAGGCAGGCGGCGCGCCCTGCCCGGGGCCGGGGCCGAGCGCGCGGGGCGCGGGGCGCGGGCCGGGGGCGCGGGGCGCCCGGGGTACCGGGGTGCCGGGCCGCTCCCGCCCGCTGCCCTCTAGCGGCGGCCGCGCCCGCGCCCCCGAGCCGCCCGCCGTCCCGGCGCCCCGCGGCTCCGCCTGCGCCCCCGCGGGCTCCCCGACCCTCGCGCGCCCGCCCGCGCGCCCCGCGGCCCGGCTCGCTCCCCGCTCGCGTCGCGGTCCCTCGGCGCCGCCGCCGCCTCGGCCCCCCGGGGGACGCCACTGGAGGGCGCCTGAAGCCCGCGCATCGCGGCCACCGCTGCCCCGCGGTCCCGGGGCCCCGACTCCCCGGGCCTCCTCTGCTCCCCCGCGGCCCTGCCCTTCCGCTCCCACCGCGCAGGACGCAGGGCAGAGGGAGGAAGGAAGAGGGACACCCTTTGTTTTCAATCAGGCTGCTTTATTCTTTATGCTGGGAACCCCGGGCGCACAGGAACCCCCCCCACCCCCACTTCCTGGGCCCCCGGTGTGGGAAGCAGCAGCTTCCTGTCCGGCTGTCAAAGATCCTCTGCTAAGGCTGGGGGGTGGTCTTGACTGTCCTCTAGGGGCGTCCACGGGCCTGTGAAGCAAAGAAACGCTGATTTTTTATTATGTGGGGGTGGGGAGTCTGCGCACCCTCCCTCCCTGGAGCACCCCAGGTGGCCCCCTGAAGCCCACCCCCAGTGTCTGTCAAGTGTGGGGTGGCCCAGTCCCGGACTCTCCCACCCTGGCACTCACCTGAAGGTCCTAGATGTAGAAGAGGGGCACCTCCCCACACAGGGTCCCCACGGCGGGGCCCAGGAAGGCCAGGTCCCCAGATGATGGTGAGCCAGCGGGACCATTGCCTGCCTCCTGGCCCAGCTTGGAGGCCGGCATTTCCGGCTTGGCCTGCAAAGAGCACCTGAGCTGAGCCTGGGAATCGAGTTCTGTCTCTCTTGTGCAGGGGGTTGTCTGAGCCCGCGGTTCCTCACCAGGAATGAGGGGCTGTGTTGACATCAGAAGGCACTGGGGGTGTGAGTGGATCCCCCCAGGCCAGCAGTTTGACAGGGGTGAGGGCATACTGATAATGGAAAGGGTGGCACTCGCCTGGCACCCTGGGGGTGACGAACACCCATAGCCCCCTCTCAAGGCACACTCACCTGAAAGTCGTGGAATTTCCGAGCGAGAGCCTCAAGACTGGGGATGTTCTCCGGAGTCATCTTCATGATGTAGCAGCAGGTTCCTGGGGCTGGCTTGTAGGCGATCAGGAGCTGGGCACAGACACCCCACCACCAGAGTTCATTCTGGTCTACCTTGCCTCGTACACCCCCTAACCCTGGCTCTTGGCCACTTCCCGCTAAACTGGACATGGGAGGGAGTCAGACTAGACCCATGGGGCTCGGGCGCCACCCAGGAACCAAAGGGCTGGGGATGAGGAGAGATGGCCCAGCTGGGTGGTCCGGCACAACCTGGTTGCCCTGGTCCGAGGTGGGACTGATCCAGGTAGGACACACTCACCCGCTGGTAGTCATAGATGGCGAGACCAGTGGAGCCGATGGAGAAGGTGGCCGTGGTACCCACACGCTCGCTCAGGGCCAGGCGCTGCTGGGCCTCCGGCCCCCCGATGCTCATCTCCAGGACCTGGAGGAGGACACAGCGCTGCCTGGCATCCCACTTGCCTACCTTGCCCCCCACCACTCTGCCACTGGCCTTGGACAGGCTGCTGTGCCCCCACCCAGCCTCTGTCTAGCACGTCTTGCACCCTCTGTCCACCCAGCCCAGGCCTGCTCACCATCTCCGTGTGTTTCTGGCTCATGTGCAGACCCATGAGCAGGGCCCCCACGACCACCACGACCACCAGGACCACCACCACCACCACGATGAGAAGGCGTTTGAGGTGCAGCGGGCAGCAGGGGATGCCAAACCGGCCCCGTGGGGCTGCAGAGTAATCCTGAGGTGGGAGGGCAAGTAGTGCGGAGACAGGTGTGAGATCATGGGTGGGGGGTGTCCCCTCTTCTCCCTCTACAAGCTAGACACCCTCCCACCCCCTTCCGAGTCAGAAAAGCAGGTGCTATGACTGTAACAAGGAGGGCAGAGGAAATCCTAGAAGGCTTCCTGGAGAAGGTGGACTAGACTCCCAACAAGCTCCTGGCTGCCAAGAATAAAGATCTCCTTTAGACTCGGGAAAGCCTGCTCTGCCAGTTTCCTGCTATTTTTCCCCCCTAGAACCCCAGCACTCCAGTCTTACTCAGTCCCTCTATCCTGCCCCCCATTCCAAATATATGCGCTCTCCCTTTGCCCTTGCTACTCCTCTCTGCGACCCTCTGCTTTGTCCTTCTCCACTGGACACCACTCATTCCTCTGGAACCGACTCCGAGGTCACGTTCTCACACAGCTCCCTGCATCTGCCGAGGGACTTAACTGCCCTTTGTTCTCTGCACCCCGCTCACTGACCTCATGTTGCCTGCCATTGCCATCTCCCGCAGGGCCTCTGGCCTAGCTTGGCATAGTCCTGGGTCAGTGATGCCGAGACAGGCCCTGAGGTGGGAGGAAGGCACCCCCCGCCGCACTCCCACAGCCACGCACCCCAGCCCAGGTGTGCACCCACACTCACCGGCGGACTCTCCATCAAGACCTCTTTGCCGCCCACATCCATCTTGCTGCAGGCGATGTCCTCCCCTCAGCTCCCAGGTGTGACCTGGGTGGGTCTTATATGTTGCCCGGGGAGAGAGAGGGGACAGAGGTGAAAGGCCTGGGCCCTGCCCGCCAGCAGAGCCCTTGGCTTTGAAACCTGTTTGTTCCTGGCTCTCCAGCCACGAGAGCCCTCGATAAGCCAGCTGCAAGAGTGCCCGAGGGTCCTTGGCGCTGGCACCTGAGTCCTTCTGGCCGTGTGTGTGGAGAGCAGAGAGGGGAGCTGAGCACACTTGCCCTTGGGCAACCTGAACCTCTCACCGTGGGTGTTTTCCTGGCATGCCCGCCTTTCTTGCTGGCACCTGCCCCTCCGTCCTGTGGCTTTCCCGGCCAGGCGGATCGCTCAGGCAGCCAAGGGTCCGACCTGCCCCCCAGTGTCCTGCACTTTCCCCCCAGCAAGGGATGAGCTCCGGAAGTGAGAAGGCAGGGCTGGGAGACAGAGGGGCACGCTCTGGGCAGGGGGGCTCTGGGCACGAAACGCCTGCCGGAGCATCAGCCAACTTTTCCCTGGAGAACTCTACCTGCTCCGCCTTCGCCCACACATCTGGAACCCAAACCTCAGACTTGCTCTTTCTGATCCTAAAAGCTGGCGCCTCTGGTCATAAATTCTTCCTTGCTAAAGCAGTTTGAGTGAGTGTGTGTGTGTGGGGGGCATTTTGTTGTTGTTGTGTTGGGTTATTTTTTTTTCTTTTGCAGAGGGAGGGCATGTGTGTAAGTGAAGGCTTCTTTATTTTTCTGTTTTTACTTTTTTTTTTTTTGGCTTTTTGGGTCACACCCGGCAATACACAGGAGATACTCCTGGCTCTGCACTCAGAAAATACTCCTGGCGGTGCTTGGGGGACCATATGGGATGCTGGGAATCGAACCCGGATCAACTGCATGCAAGGCAAACGCCTTACCCGCTGTGCTATTGCTCCAGCCCCTCTGTTTTTACTTTTCTTTGCATTTATTTTGTGCTGGATGCCTTCCCGGCTCTCCATTTGGTCTCCTTGATTTCTTCTGGAACATCTTTTTCTTCTGTGCAGCTTCCTCTTCCGGCTTCAGAACCATCTGCCCTTTTCTGGTCGGGACCATCCCTGGGGACTGTGTCTGCCTGGAGGTGCCCTGTGGCCAGACTCTATCAGGAACCCACAGGGAGTTCTCTCTGCCTTGAAAGCGGGCATGGTAAACACACAACCCTCGGGACTCTCAGCCCTATACCCAGAAACCTCTGTCTGACCTGGGCTTAATACCTTTGTAACTCTTCCACGTTGCTTCCAGAAAGTGACGTCCGTCAGGTACTGGTGGCTTTTCAGATAGAGACCATCAAGGCTCAGGTGGTTCTGTGAATTTTTTTTCTTTTTTCTTTGCTTTTTGGATCACACCCAGCAATGCTCAGGGGTTACTCCTGGCTCTGCACTCAGGAATTACTCTTGGCAGTGCTCAGGGGACCACATGGGATGCTGGGAATCAAACCTGGGTCGGCCAGTACAGAACAAATGCCCTACCCACTGTGCTATCACTCCAACCCCATTTGTGAATATTTTTAAAGTGAGCTTGATGCTCTGTACCTCTGGCTGGGTGTGAATTTTGGGGGGGTTCTGAGTCGAGGGAATAGAAAACTTTTTTCTGCAATGGCCTTGGGCTGCTTTGCACGGGTGCTCTGGATGGTTGACCGCAGATTCATATGTTCATGTCTGACGCTTCTTTTAAGTTTTTTGGGGGGACCTCTGCTGGTTCTGTGTCAAGGGACCCTGTGGTGTCAGAGATTGAACCCAGGGCTCCAGCAGGCAAAGCCTGTTCTCCGACCCTCTGTACTGTCTCTGCAACCCCTGACAGGGCTAGCCGGCCTTGCCCGGGACTAGGTGTGACCACTGCCAGGTTTGGGGGCTGCTTCTCAGCCCTCTGTACGACCCTTTTTATATCCTGATCCTTTTTATATCCCTCATCCTAGCCGTGTCCTGATGGTGCTGTGCACCCAAACAGGGATCGGGGATTAGTTCTTCTCCCAAAGCCATCCCGGTGGCTTTGTTTTACTGAACCCTGGCATCCATGAGCAAGTAAGTTCAGCTTCCCTTCCCACTCCTCTTTTGAGCTCCCCACCTGATCCTCCTTAGACTTCAGCCCAGTTCCTGTCCCCCACCGCTTGACCCCGACCCTCAGTCATGTACTGGCCCCTGCTCTCTAGTCTGGACAAACACCCCTGTGACCACTAGGGCTCTCAGCCTCAAGGTTGCATCACAGCTGAGCATCCGGTTGAGAGCCCCTGAGAGGCCCAGGGAAGCAGAAAGGGAGGCAAGTGTTTGCACCCACCCTCAGCTGCCCCTTTAAATATTTGCTTTAGCCCCTAGCAGTCAGAGTCCTAGCAGCTTCAGTGGCCGAAGGGGGGTGGGTTGCGGAAGGGGGGCTCGGCCCCCTGTTAGCTATGAGGCCTCAGCTGGTGCAGGTGCCAGATGTAGGCGACAGCCCGCCCGCAGTGCCCAGGAGCCCCCACTCCCACCCCCAGTTGTCCTGGCAACACTGGGATTGATGGGCTGACTCACGAGCACTGGGCGCGAGCCAGGTGGGCAGCCGGCCAGCGGGAGCGCCAAAGAGAAGTGCAGGCATCCCGGGATCCCTGTGGGCATCTCAGGGGCCGCCCAGTCCAGCTGTGGGCTCTTTCTGAGCGAGCATTGTGAGCAGGGCTTGCTGTCCCCACTGCAGCGGGGAAAGGGGCGCTCTCAGAGAGAACCCTCTGTTCCCTGGGCCCTCGGTCACTGCCGCCGCCGCCACAGCAGCGGCCCGGCCCATAGTTCTCACAAGCATTGTGGCACTTGCTCTTCTTTCTTAGATTCTGCTATTTTTTTTCCAAGGGCACAACTAACAGGCACCAATGTCCTGCTGGCAGTGTGAGGTGGGCATCCTGGATGCTTGGGAAACTTTGTGGTGCCAGGGATGTGATTCGGGGCCACTACCACCTGAACCATCTCCTTGGTTCCTTTGCTTTGCTTTCATCTTTTGTTTTGTTTTGTTTTGTTTTTTGGGTCACACCTGGCAGCGATGCTCAGGGGTTACTCCTGGCTTTGTATTCAGGAATTACTCCTGGCAGTGCTCAGGGGATCATGTGATTGAACCGGAGTTGGCCGCATGCAAGGCAAACACCCTACCCATTGTACAATCACTCCAGCCCCTAATTTTTTTTTTTTTTGGAGGAGATCTCAGGGGCCTGTGGGCCAATCACAGTGGTACACAGCAGTATACAGCCAGCCAGGCCAGAGAGTTCAATGCTTGCCCCTCCTGATGCAGTGTTGATTGGGGCAGTGCTTGGGGACCACCAGCAGTACCCTGTGCTGGGAGTCGAGTCTGGGTCCAGGTGCATGTCGGAAATGCAGCCCTGACCTCTGAGCTACCTCTGCAGTTCTGCTTTGTCTTTCTTTTCTTTCTTTTTTTTTTCTTTTGCTTTTTGGGTCACACCCGGCAACGCTCAGGGGTTACTCCTGGTTCATGCACTCAGGAACTACTTCTGGCAATACTTGGGGGACCATATGGGATGCTGGGAATCGAACTCGGGTTGGCTGCGTGAAAGGCAAAGGCCCTACCTGCTGTGCTATCGCTCCAGCCCCATCTGCTTTGTCTTTCTTAAGCTTGTTTGTTTACCGGTTTGGAGATGGAGGAAAGGGAAGGTGCCCTCAGGTTTCATCAAGGGGTTCCAATGCTGGCATTTTCCAGACAGAAGTTTGGGGAAGCTTGAAGGAAGTTGGGGATGGGGGAGTTCCTAGCCTCTGTGGTTCCTTCTCCCTCTCAGCCTTCCCTTCTGCCGTTTCGGCTCCAGAAAGCCCTTCTCTGCCTCACTCCCTAAAGACAGAGGGAGTCGAGGACAACTGCTCTGTTCTGGCCCGTGGTCTCTGTCCTTCTGTCCCTTCTCCAGGATCTGCCAGCCTCCGGGACCACATGGCCAACTGCCACATACCCCTGGATCCTTCTTAACCATAGGCACCCAGATCTGTTTGCTTCCCACCTGCTGCCACCCTGGGTCCTGAAGCCCATGTGTCCGATTCAGCCAGTCACTGTCCCCCAAACCGGAGGGGGTTCCTGGCTGCAGACGACAGCCGTGGCCTTGCTATGTGCCAGCCTCGCTGCCTTGGCTGCCTGGCCCTGGGCCCGGAAGCGAGTGAGTGATTCTGCCTCTGTAGCTTTATGCGTTCATGCGTGAAATGGGACTAGTTCTGCCCGTCGGGTTTCCCTCTGTTGGGACAATCCAACAACATCAGGTCCTATGTCCGTTCTGTCATGTCCTACTTCACCCCGAGGGCACCTCTTCTCTCTGGCTAAGAAAAGGACCCAGGCCAGACACTCCCTTTTTTGTCTGCCTTAGGCTCAAACTCCTTTTTTTTTTTTTTTGTAGGTGGGGGGAGAGTGGTTTTTGGGTCACACCCGGCAGTGCTCAATGTAACTTCTGGCTCTGCATTCAGGAATCACTCCTGGCGGTGCCCAGGGAACTTTCTGGGGTGCCAGCGATTGAACTTCGGTTGGCAGTGAGCAACGCTTACCAGCTATACTCTCTCTCTGGCCGCTGGCTTAAACTCTTGCGCTTCACAGGGTGGTGATGTGCCCGGAGCCATCCCTGTGTATGTGCCTCTCCTTTGCCCCATCCAGATGCTCAGCTGCAGGGGAGGCACAAGATTCACTCTGCCCTTTGTGTGCTGGGCAGAGCCGTGCCAGGGACGGGTGGAGACAGTGGCCCAGCTGCCCCCCGTCACCCTCCCCACCCTTGCTGCTTCTCTTCTCACAAACTGGCCTGGGGAGCAGCGGGACAGCAGGGCAGAGAGGGACAGGGACAGTCAGACTCAGGACAGGGGCACCCCTGGCTGGGGTCACGCCACGATGAAACTTCTGCCAGAGAACACTTATGGACAGGGTTCAGAGACAGAGGGGAAAGCAGCAAATCCAGAGATCTGGGCTCCCAGGACCGGTGTTGAAAGAGCACAAGGAGGGGAGTCCAGCCCCCTGGCCTCAGGTTTTACTATTCGGTTCTTTTGAGTCCTTGGAACACACCTGAGCTGGGGGTGGTCAGACTGAGGACACAGAAGAGGCTCAAACTTCTCAAGTATTTTGCTGAACACTCTTAGAAGGTATCCTCCATGGCCATCAATTTATAGGCAAATCATGACTTTATTTTTCAAGACTAATATCCACGGCCAGGGAAAAGAGGGGCTAGGAGGATTGCCCAATGGTTGGAATCAACCACATGTGTGTGGGGTGGCTGGTAGGTAAGATAGAGAAAGGACCAGGATAACAATGATAGCTAGAAATGATCACACTGGGCAAGAACTGAGTGTTAAAACTAGGTAAAAGGATATACCTGACAACCTTTCAGTATCTGTGTTGCAAACCATAATGGGAGGGAGAGAGAGCGGCGGGGGGAGGAAGAAGAAGGAGGAGGAGGAGGAGGAGGAGGAAAAGAAGAAGAAGAAGAAGAAGAAGAAGAAGAAGAAGAAGAAGAAGAAGAAGGAGAAGGAGAAGGAGAAGGAGGAGAAGGAGAAGGAGAATAAGAAGAGGGAGAGGGAGAAGGAGAAGGGAGAGGAGGAGGAGGAAGAGGAGGAGGAGGAGGAGAGGGATGAAGGGGGAGGAGGAGGAGGAGGGGGATAAAGGGGGGGAGGAGGAGGAGGAGGAGGAGGAGGAGGAGGAGGAGGAGGAGGAGGAGGAAAGTGCCAGGGTGAGGTTGGGATGGAGTGATGCGAGGCAAACTGGGGACACAGGTGCTGGGAAATGTATATGGTGGAAGAATGAGTGTTGGGACACTGTATGACTGAAGCCTAATCATGAGCAGTTTTTAAAAGGTCTCTCTCACAGATTCTATAAAAGTATCCTTTTAAAAATGTACCAGGAACAAAATTCCTGGTACTAATCTCAGCCATTGTTGCGTGTTACTCTCCTATTTTGTTACTTTATGTTCCCCAGATGAATGCAATCTTTCTATGTCTGTCCCTCTCTTTCTGACTCATTTCACTTAACATGATACTTTCCATGTAGTACCACTTGTATGTAAATTTCATGAAATCCAAGCACAAAATTTGTAAGTCTACAACTGTACCTCATGGTGTCTCACTAATAAAAAATATCCAGCAAAAAAGAAGAAGAAGAAGAAGAAGAAGAAGAAGAAGAAGAAGAAGAAGAAGAAGAAGAAGAAGAAGAAGAAAGAAAGAAAAAAAGAAAAAAGTACCAGGAACTCAGAAGAATGTATGTTTGGAGAATGTCTATTGCTCTTCTCCATACTGCTACTTACTGGGAAACTCATATGATTTGAAAGAGGCAACAAATAGGGGTTGGAGAGACAGTACAGCAGGTAAGGTGCTTGCCTTCCACGTGCCAACTGGAGGTCAATCCCCCTTATCCCATATGGTCCCCTGAACACCACTAGGAATAATGACTGAGCAGAGCCAAGAGTAACACCAGAGCATCACCGGGTATGGCCCTAAAACCAAACAAAAACAAAACATCAATAATAGGAGCTGAGAGCTCCCTGGAAGAGTATGCAGGAGACCACCAGTTAGCTCTCCAGCACTGAGTGTGATCCGGGGTATGGCCTTGGGGGCCCCTGAGCCCACAAGCCACCACCAGCAATAGGGTGTGAATCTGTGGTGTTCCAAATAACCATAATGGGAAGGGAGACATTTTAAAATCAAGTTAAATTTTAAAATAGTAATATTAAGCCTATTATAACACACTGTGTGTGTGTGTGTTTGTCACACCTAGCAATGCTTAGGGGATACTCCTGGCTCTGCACTCAGGAATTACTCCTGGCGGTGCTTGGGGGACCACATGGGATGCCAGGAATCAAACCCGGGCCAGTACCTGCTGTACTGTCACTCCTGCCCAATATGACACAGCTTTTTATGTGGAAATAATTTTTGTACAAAGCAGAAAACAAACCAACCAAAAACAAGAATTTGCATTTAAAAAAAAAATCTCCTTAACTTATGATTTCCAAAATTCCAAAATCACTGTGACCCCATAGGCCCCCTGGAAGTTTCCTGGGCAAGGCTGATGTGCTTGGGAGTACAGGGGTTCTGCCTGGCCCCTCCTGCCCAGTATGGCTCATCTCCCGGAGGAGACTGGGACAATCAGCCCAGCTGGGTGGCAACCCCCCCCTCCCCCGCAGGTCTCCTCTCAGGTGCGGCCTCAGTTTCCTCACTTGTTAACTAGAGAGCTGGACTCTTCCTGGTTCTCCAGCCAGTGGTGGTGAGACATGTTCCAGAACCGCACGCGCCCCCGCACTCCAAGGACACTGACATGCCCCCTCTCAGCCACCCCAGGCCTGCACGCTAGCCCATGGAAACACCGTGGCAGAGTCTTGAGACACACACGCAGGGGTTCCCCGAGTCACGGGTGGGCTCTGACGCAGGAAGGAGTATTCGGGGTGCGGCGTGCAGCGCTAGGGGTGCAGGAGGGCCAGGTCCCCCCTCCCCCAGGAAGCGCGCGTGAAACACGCACGCACCCCGGCGCGCCACTGGCCCGCACGGACGCGCGATGGCCCGGGAGAGCGCGGCCAGACCGCTCCGCTCCGGCTCGGCTCGGGCTCCTTCCATTGGCGACGGGCGGCCCGGGCTCCCCCTCCGCCGGCTTGCGCGCCCCCGTGCCGCAGTCCGCGTCCGCCCCGCGGGTCAGCCTGGCTCCGGCTCCCGCGCGCAACGAGCGAGCGGCGCACGGGAGCGAGCAGGGCAGGGCGCGCCCGCCGGCGGGGAGGCCCCACGCTGCGGCAGGAGCTGCGGTGGCCGCGAGGTGCCAGCCCGTGCGGGGCGGCAGCGGCAGGCCAGAGCGACAGCTCACCGGCTGCATGGCGCGGTTGCCGGCCAGCCAGCGGGGCGCCCGGCCCTGGCTGCTGGCGCTGTCCATGCTGGGCTTCGGCCTGATCCTGCAAGCCGGGGCCAAGAGGCCCCCGAAGACGCCCCCCTGCCCGCCCAGCTGCTCCTGCACTAGGGACACCGCCTTCTGCGTGGACTCCAAGGCAGTGCCCCGGAACCTGCCCTCAGAGGTCATCTCTCTGTGAGTGCCCAGCCGAGTGCCCAGTCCTGGCGCGGGGTGGGGAGGAAGGTGGAGAGGGCGAAGAGGGCGCGAGAGAGTGGGTGGGCAGAAAAACCCGCGCCCCTGTCTTGGGAGTGGGGTCCCGGAGGGCTGGAGGCTGAGCGCAGTCATGAACCGGGAGGGCGCTGGGCAGCCTGCTAGCCAGGCAGCCATGGCCGAGGAGAGGAGCCAAGAATGAATCATCACTCTGGGCCTCCCTCGGAGACCTACTGTGTGCAGGCAAGTGACAGGACATGCGACTGCGCCTCACCTGTCACTGCAAAAACAGAGAGGCTGGCCCCAGGGAGGAGGGCAGCAGTGGGTGGCCCCGTCCTGCCCTGCTCTGGCCAGACACCCCGCACTGGTCAGCACCCCTCAGCAGCAGCAGCAGCGTGAGGGGGGACAGACAGAGAGGCTGTGTGCTCTCCCCCTCTCAACTCCCTCCCCGAACACCCAGCCCCACTGAGTTTGGGGGCTCCTGATGGCATGGGCAGTGGGAACTTCTCTGGGCAGAGGGAAAGTTGAGCCTGGGATACTTGGCAGGGGTCGTGGGTCAGGGCAGGCAGTGCATGGGGAGAAGGGAGCGCACTCCGGGTGGGGGCCCCCGGCGTGCTGAAACAGTGTGTAGTAGTCACCCTGCTCCCACACCGGCCCGTGCTCTGACCAGCGTGTCCCCTGCAGGACGCTGGTGAACGCCGCCTTCTCGGAGATCCAGGATGGAGCCTTTGCCCACCTACCGCTGCTACAGTTCCTGTATGACAGAGTCTGGAGAGGCACCCTGCACGCGGGGGGCCCTGCATGTGGGGGACCCTGCACCTGGGAAACCCAGCACTTGGGGGACCCGGCACCTGGGGGACCCTGCATTTTGGGGGACCCTGCACTTGGGGGACCTGCGGACCTGGCACCTGAAGGACCCTGCATTTGGGGGGGCTGCATTTGAGGGACCCTGCATTTGGGGGATCCTGCATTTGGGGGACCCTGAATTTGGGGGACCCTGCATTTGGGGGGATGAATAGCCTGGAGAGGGGTCAGGGAACAGTGGCACAGGCAGGGGATGGGATCTTGGGCACAGCAGTGAACTTACTTCATATGAACACCAAGGTAGTGGGGTGCAGTGACCCCTTTACATCACGTCTGGGAGACCAGTGACCCCAGGGGTCAGGCTATGAAGAGAGAGGCTGTGGGAGGCTGAAGGGAGAGGAGACAGGGTCTGGGGTTCCCAAAGGAGCTGTTAGAATTTAAAGCCTGAGTCATAGGCGGGTGCTAGTGAGTGGCCCACCTCCTCCTCCAAGAGGACCATCCTCCAACCCCACGATGGGGTCCTGGAAGGACTGGAAGAGCTGGGAGAGGCTGGGAGGCAGGGAGTTGTGGGGTGGGAGGGGGACCTGCCCCTGACTTTGTTTACAACTCAGAACTCTGGGACCAGAGCAGGTGGTGCCAGCCAGGTGTTGGGCTGGAGGTAGGGGAGGGGGGGAGGAGTGGGGGGAGGCAGCCCTGGCTGGAGGCAGCCCAGGGTGAGGAGGCCGGGAACCTGGCAGCAGGTGCATACCCTTGCAAACAGGAATTCTCCTTTGCCTCTGCAGGTTGCTCAACTCCAACAAGTTCACGCTGATCGGAGACAACGCCTTCACCGGACTGTCCCACCTGCAGTACCTGTGTGTGGGAGTGGGAGGCAGAGGGAGCCCTCTGAGCAGGGGAAGCAGGGGATGAAAGAGGCTTATATCACCCTCCAGGACGGGGTGCTGGACTGCGGTGGGGAAGAGTAGTAGCCTTGCGTATACAACTGGGGGGCGCTTTTGGTTTGGTTGCTCCAAGAAAGTCGATTTCCAGGAACGCGCTTCCTGAAAAGGAGGCCATGGACCGAATCAGTTTGGGGACTTTGGCTTGAGCCATCCTGCCTGGCAGTGCTCAGGACTGACTCAGTATGGCCAGACTCAGTGTGAAAGCCTGTCTCGGGGCCAAGGAAGGGCTGAATCTGGGGGGTTAGGGTGTGTGGGGGTGGGGGGCTGGGCTCCTGAGTGGCTGGTTGCTTTCCCTCAGCTTCATCGAGAACAACGACATCTGGGCTCTGTCCAAGTTCACCTTCCGAGGACTGAAGTCTTTGACACACCTGTGAGTTGGTGACCCCCAGAGCCCCACCTTTCCTAGAGGGACCTTTGTGCCCCCATCACTGTTTTCAGTGCCTGCCTCTCTCTTACAGCTCACTGGCCAATAATAACCTGCAGACCCTGCCGAGAGATGTTTTCCGGCCGCTGGACATCCTGTCGGACTTGTAAGGCCCAGGCCCCTGACAGCATGGGGGTGGGGGGGCGGCACATGATTGGGAGGTTTGGGGAGCCTCGACGAAGGCTAGGCCAAGTGAGATAGAAATTGGAAGCCTTCCATGTTGGGGTTCCTCGGGGAATCTGCAGACCTTGTTAAAATGCACAGCAGAAGTTCTATGCTTTTTTTCCCCGCTTTTTGGGTCACACCCGGCGATGCACAGGGGCTACTCCTGCTCATGCACTCAGGAATCACTCTTGGCGGTGCTCGGGGGACCATATGGGATGCTGGGAATCGAACCTGGGTCGACCGCATGCAAGGCAAATGCCCTCCCCACTGTACTATCACTATAGCCCCATTCTGTGCATTTTGGAAGGGCTCATCCATGCACGTTCAATGGCATCTGTGCTCGGGACCTAGAGCAGTGCTGGGAGCATACTCAGTAACTCAACAGCAAGATTCCTGGATGGGTGGCTTTGGCGAGATTGGGTTGAGCCATTATTGCAGTCCTCATACTGTGAAAGGCACCTTTCCAGGGCCTGAAACACCCCCCCAAACACACACACCGCCCACTGGCAGGCATGGGTCCACAGGGTTGCATGTGCCCCCCAGAGCACCTTCACTGATGGGCACAGAGAGGCTGCATGAGTGCCCAGCAGCTGCCTCCCCGGTTAGGCCCCGCCCCCTTGGCCGGAAGCCCACTGAGCTGAGATGGGCAGAGGAGGCAGAGCTGCTCACATGCAACCCATCCTGTTCTGGTCCCCCCCCCCCCCCCCCGCGCAACCTCCCCCAATACAACACCACCCCTGATCCAGGGACCTGCGAGGCAATTCGCTCAACTGTGACTGCAAAGTGAAGTGGCTGGTGGAGTGGCTGGCACACACCAACACCACGGTGGCCCCCATCTACTGTGCCAGCCCACCCCGCTTCCAGGAGCACAAGGTGCAGGATCTGCCGCTGCGTGAGTTTGACTGCATCACCACGGGTAAGAGCTGCCCCCCCGCCCCCGACCCGGAACCCCTTTCCTGGTGACCCCCATCGGGCGACGGCCACCTCCCAGCAAGCTCTTCTTCTCTTCTCTCCACCCCCTCACCCCCGCAGACTTCGTGCTGTACCAGACGCTGCCCTTCCCAGCCGTGTCAGCCGAGCCCTTCCTCTACTCCAGCGACCTCTATCTCGCTCTGGCCCAGCCCGGCGCCAGCGCCTGCACCATCCTCAAGTGGGACTATGTGGAACGGCAGCTTCGAGACTATGACAGAATCCCAGGTAACCGAGCCGAGCCTGGCTGTGGGTGCGTTGCCAGGGGATGGGGGAAGCAGGCTCAGCTCCCTTCTTCCCCTCCACTGAGCTCCGGTCAGTGGAGGGAGAGAGATGAGGTCGGGTCTGTAGCCCATAGAGAGCACTGTCTAGTCTTTGGGGTGAGGTTGATACGGACACAGGTACCATCCATGTAACGGGTAGGTGCTGGGAAGGGGTTACGAATGTGCCCTTGTGAGAGCACAGGTGAGAGGCAACCAGGGAAGCCTGCCTGCTGGAGGGGAGGCGTATGTGGAGTCTTGGAGGATGAGAGAATGAGGAGACTCAAGTGATGCCCGGGTTGCTGGCTTAAGAACTGGTGGAGGGACTGGAGTGGTAGCACAGTGGATAGGGCATTTGCCTTGCACACGGTCGACCCGGGTTCGATTCCCAGCATCTCATATGGTCCCCCAAGCACTGCTTAGAGTAATTTCTGAGTGCATGAGCCAGGGGTAACCCCTGTGCATCACCGGGTGTGCCCCAAAAAGCAAAAAAAAAAAAAAAGAAACTGGTGGAGGAAATGGGAGTGGCCCCAAGCTCATTTTGACATCCATTGACACTGAGCTGAGCCTCCCTGGCCAAGGTAGATTTAGTTAGGAGAATATAGAGTGGGGAAGGCATTTGCCTTGCACACAGCTGACCCAGGTTCAATCCCCACCATCCCATATGGTCCCCTGAGCACTGCCAGGAGTGATTCCTGAGCAAGGATCCAGGAGCACTGCCAGGTGTGGCCCTGAAATAAATAAGGCTTAGTTAGGAGGCAAAACTAAGGAAGGGGGGACAGCATGAACCAGTCAGGAGGACAAGCAAGCAACAGGGGCCGGGGAGATGGCTCAGAGCGCTGGAGCCCACGCCTGGCATGCACAGGGCCCAGGGGCGGTTCCTAGAGCCCCATGGCCTCGACTGCAGGGCTGGGTATCGCACTGGTGGTCCTCAGCACTCCTAGAGAGGCATATCCCCAAAAGATGGACGTGCAAGAGCATGGTAATGACATAAACCTTCCCCGGCTCTGACACCAGCATCAGTTCAAGCGAGGAAACTGGTAGCTGACAGGCAGCAGCAGCATCGTGGGGGGAGCTGAGGAGGAGGAAGGCCCGTGGGAAGGCCCGTGGGCTCTGTGGGTGCCCAGACTGTGCTGCGCCTGAGGGACCTGAGGGGTCTGTTTACAAGGGAGACCCGAACAACATCGGAGGGCGCAGAAAGTCAGGACGGTCCTAGGTCTACGGACGAATGCCAAGTCGTTGTATTGGAGAAGCCACACAAAACAGACAAACAGAAGACTTTGCCCCAAGAAGATTCCGGGTCCAGATGGTTTGCCTGGTGTGTTCTAGCAAACGTTTAAGGAAGCGCTAGCCCCAGACTCACACAAATTGTGCTGTAGAGCAGAGCGGGGGATTGACAGCACTTGAAGATTGTATGGATGGACTGTGTATATAGGGGGAGGGGAACTAGAGAGAAACAGAATTCGAAACCAAGGGCCCAGGAGGAGAGGAGCAGTTGCTAGTTCCGATCTACGGAACTCCAGTCTTGGCCCAGTGGAGCTGGGGGGAGTGGGCACACAGAAGGACAGTCGGGGCTATAGCTCAGGGTGGGCATCCCCAGTGTCTAAGTAGGTAGGGCAGGCTCAGCCTGTCTGAGGATGTGGGGGAGTGGGGAGCAGGGTGCCGCCCAGCTGGCCGGGAGATGAGAGGCCACGACTGACTGGGGACACCGGGACAGGTCAGGAATGTGGTCCCAAGTAAGTTTGTGCCACCTTGTTCAACATAAAAGTCCTTGTCACTGCGGGAGCCCTTGGGAGACTGTTTTCACAGAACTGTCTGCCCGGCCCAGCCATCCAGCTGTGCCAAGCTCAAACGCCCCTCCTCCATCCCCTGCTGGTCACTTGTTAGCGGGGTAGCTCTGCCCGGACCATCTGGAGCTGGGGTTTCTTTTGGTGTCAAACAGGATAATAATAGGGTCCTTTGCAGAGCAAAGAGCAGAGGCAAAGCCTTCACACTTAGCATAGCGACAGTCACAAATTCAATGGCATACTAGCTACCCCCCCCCCACCGTGGAGATGTAGAAACACCTATTTTGTGCTCAGTGTCACTTCTATTTGGAGCCCTCAGGTGTGGTGGGGCGGGGGCAGGGGTTGATCTTAGCTGTGAGACCACCAGAAAGGACCCACGCTGGTGGAGCGGGGCGGGCAGTGCAGCAGGAGTGAGGTACTAGGGCTTAGTGCAGAGCTGGAGGGGACTGGCCCCCTCTACTAACTTGGTTGCCCCCCCCCATGTGGCAGCCCCTTCCGCCGTGCACTGCAAGCCCATGGTGGTGGACAGCCAGCTGTACGTGGTCGCCGCGCAGCTGTTCGGCGGCTCTTACATCTACCACTGGGACCCCAACACCACGCGCTTCACCAAACTGCAGGACATCGACCCGGAGCGCGTGCGCAAGCCCAACGACCTGGAGGCCTTCCGTATCGAAGGTGACTGGTACTTCGCGGTGGCCGACAGCTCCAAGGCGGGCGCCACCAGCCTCTATCGCTGGCACCAGAATGGCTTCTACTCCCACCAGGCTCTGCACGCCTGGCACCGCGACACCGACCTGGAGTTCGTGGATGGCGAGGGGAAGCCGAGGCTGATTGTGTCAAGCAGCTCCCAGGCGCCCATCATCTACCAGTGGAGCCGCTCGCAGAAGCAGTTCGTGGCCCAGGGCGAGGTGACCCAGGTGCCCGACGCCCAGGCCGTGAAGCATTTCAGGGCTGGGCGCGACAGCTACCTGTGCCTCAGTCGCTACATCGGCGACTCCAAGGTCCTGCGCTGGGAAGGCGCCCGCTTCTCCGAGGTGCAGGCGCTGCCCTCCCGGGGCTCGCTGGCCCTGCAGCCCTTCCTGGTGGGCGGCCGGCGCTACCTGGCGCTGGGCAGCGACTTCTCCTTCACCCAGATCTACCAGTGGGATGACGGGCGGGAGAAGTTCGTGCGGTTCCAGGAGCTGGCGGTGCAGGCCCCCCGGGATTTCTGCTACATGCCCGCGGGCGACGCGCAGCTGCTCCTGGCCCCCAGCTTCAAGGGACAGACCCTCGTGTACCGGCACGTGGTGGTGGACCTCAGTGCCTAGGGGGGGCCATGGCGGGGGTTCTTGGGATGGCCGCGGGAGCCTGTAGGAGCCGCGTGTGCCCACGAGAAAGACACATGTCGCCAGTCTGGCGCCGTACCCTCCCCAGCCCCTCCCCAGCCCCCGTTAGCTGGGCACACACCAGAAAGCAGCCCAGAGAGCCACGTCTCAGCTGTACCCGCATGAAGACCCAGCACCTGCTGCCCCGACGTCGGACTGCGTGCCCAGTTCGGGGCGAGGCTGGGCAGGGGTTGGCGTGCTCTACCATTTCCTGTCGGTGCTCCAGAGGTCTGTAGATGCTCACGTGCCCTCTCTGCGCTCACAGCCATGCCCTGGGCCCTGCCACACGCACTCGCCAGTCCCCACTCTCTGCATGACCCGACGGACACCTGTCTCCACACCCCTTTCTGATTGCACACTTCCAGTGGAGGCCGCTTCAAGGGGCACCTCCATCACCTTGCCTCTCCTAAGAGGGTACTTGGTACCCGTTCTTCATCCCCTCACACATGGTGTTCCCCACCCCCCGCCCGGTAGCTGACAGGGATGAGAATGTCGAGAAGGTCATGCCAGCCTCTGGGTACCAGCTTGACCTGCGGGGGCAAAGCCCGTCTGCTGGAAGCAATGACGAGTGTGGCCAGTTGCCTGCGTTCCTCTCTTTCCCCAAGTCTTCCTCTGGGCCCGCGTGCAGCTCAGATGAAAGCCTCTCTCCTTTCTCTCACCTGCAGTGCCCGCTGCCCAGACGGGGGAGCCCAGCCTCTGCTGGAGACCCTGAGCTTCACAGAGCTGGCCTGGCCAGGAGCCTGCCAGCAGCAAAGGCATCGCGAGCGGTGGGGTTGGGGTGCAGCTGAGTTGGAGAGTATCCTGGGTGCCCAGCCTGGCATACTCGCCTCCTTGGCCGCACACAGAGGCGCAGCCCAGCCTTCCAGGAGCCGATTGGCAGAGGGGGTGGGACAGGCGAGTAGGGCACTGGAGCGAACCTCTGCTGCCCCCTGGTGTGCAGACCTGGCAGCTCAGGTGGGCTGGTGAGGAGTTGTGGGGAGCTGAACCTCCTGGGTGCAGGATGCCAGGGCCCTTGCGGGCAATGCTCTGATTCCCTTGCTTCAAATAAAAAGTTCCCACCCGTGGCGGGCTCTCAGTGTCCTTTGCTGACTGGAAGTGACACAGTTTTAGGCCCTGCTGCTCCCAGGCTTTCTCGCCAGCTTCCCATTCTCCCTTGGATCAGAGAGGCAGAAAAGGTGGTCCATCTTCCATCTGGAGATGGTGGCCTGCAGGGGGGCGTGCTGGGGAGCGCGGGTAGGTAACAGCCCTTGCCTGGGAAGACTCATGGTCTCTCCCCACCCTCAGGCAGACCCACACCCTCCCAAGGGGCAGGTGTCTAGGCACTTTCCCCCTTCCCCCAAGTCTCTGCTTCTTCTGGAAAGCGACCGTGATTCCCAGATAGAGCAGAGATGAGCCCAGGTCTTCCACTCTGCCTCGTGGTTGAGACGAGTTCCGAGCTCTGAGGAAGCCCTGTGCCCACAGTTCCATCCCACACTGCCACCCTGGGAGTGTGGAGGCCACTCTTTTTTATTTTTATTTATTTTTACTTTAGGGGGTCACTTGATCACTTGACATCCAGTTACTCATCGATTTGCTCGAGCGGGCACCAGTAATATCTCCATTCGTCCCTGTCGCGTGCTAGTGTAGCCCAGTGGCGTCTGCTCCTTCTAGGAACACGAAGAGCCTCAAACCGATTGTTCAGGGTCTTGACGAAGAAGTCTGACCATCTTGTAGGTGGGCAGCCACGCGGTATTTTGACGTCCCGTGGAATCCAGTCGGTAATGGCTCTAGTCTAGCAGTCTCCAAATCTCTTTACGTGATCAGCCCATCTGATTTTCGACGCCTTGGCAAACGAGAAAGCGTCCCTGATTCTTGATCGTCAACAGAGGTCGAAACTCCGGGATTCTTTCTCTCATTTGAGTGAAACGTGATACTCCAAGCATAGCTCTTTCAATTCCTCTTTGGGAAACTCGAATAGCGTTTTCATCCTGTTTTCGTAAGCCCCAGGTCTCTGAGGCGGAAGAACAGTGGAATCAAAGAGATGTGCCCAGAGCCAGAGGTTCTTCATCCTCTTAGCTATATCTTCGAGGCTCTTGAAGGCATTCTAAGCCGCTCTCTTTCTCCTGCGCAGCTCAGGTGACAGGTCATTCGTCATGTTGACTTCTCCACCTAGGTACCCATAACTGTTGCATTTGGAGATGGTCCTTCCATTGAGAGCGAATGGAACGTCAGGAACGAGACTGTTTCTCATTTTGAGTGGTCACACCCAGTCACACCTGAGCAGGGGTTACTCCTGGCACTGCAGTCAGGAATCACTCCTGGAAGTGCACAGGGGGACCATATGGGATGATGGAGACCAAACCTGGGTTGGCCAAACGTGGGTCAGCTGTGTGCAAGGCAAATGCCCTACCCACTGTGCTACCACTCTGGCCCCAGGGAGGGCCACTCTTGAGCAGGCTCCGTGTAGAGAGGAGAAGGCTGATCTCCGAGAGACAGCAGTGTGCGGATTAGGGTTCCTTACTCCTCTGCAGTCGCTAAGCTCCTGGATCTTGCCTCTGACCTGTGGCCTCTGACCTCAGTGCCCAACCCACCCCCAGCCCTCATGACCACTCCTCACCAGGGGAGGTTCAGGTGAGTGGATTCCTGCCTCCTCAGGCCGGGATTCTGTGCTGTGACCTTCACAGCTCTCCCCCCCGCCCCCCCGGTTACCAGGCCTCACTGTCTGGGGGATCGGACCATCACGCTGTGCCAGGACAGGTTGCCAGGGATCAGCCTCCCAGGCAAGCTGGCACTCACTGGCCCAGTAGAAAGATAAACATCCCTGGCTGCTGCTGCCCCGGGGTCCGGCGTCCCCTTGAAAGCCCAGTACCCGGGGGAACTGGGCTGCTGTGTGGCTGCCTGGTGGCCTGCCCCAGGGTCACCTCTCTGTCCAGAATGCTGCTTAGCAACCAGTGTAACTAGGTGACTGTGTCAACAGCTCAGGACCAAAGGCCGTGAGAGGCAGAGTTCACACACTCAGCTCCTCCAGAACCTGGGGGAAGGGGGGCTGCTGGGGGGGGGAGGGGGGACAGTGACACCCAGCTGCAAGCTGCAGACGCCACCATGGAGCCCAGCTCCAAGCAACTGACCTCTGAACCTTGCCCCTTAGATTTCCTAAGACACCTCCAGGAGAGATGGGTCCAGCGAGCGGGTGGGCACTCACTTCAGCCAAGGCGGGTAGGAAGAGGCCCATCAGATGAGGGTCAGGTGGGGGAGTGGACGAGGAGACTCAATGCAGCTGGGCCAGCAGGGAAGCCGGCTCCACCATCCCCCTCTCCCTCCCCCTTCTTGGGCAAAGCCCCCACTCCCAGACGGAGCTTCTCCCCATTGAGTCAGCCACATCCTTTAGCCCCAAGGGAACAAGGATAGTCTCACATCAATTACAGTGTCTGAGCCCCAATTGGGGGTGGTTGGTGGACAGGACCTGCCTGAGGGGATCCCAGCTCCAGGCATTTCAGGTTCCAACTGGGGGGGGGGGGGGAATGCGAGGGGGTGTTAGGCCCTGGCAGGAGGGGGTGAGGGGGCTCTTGGAGGGAACCAGGAGGCATCAGGGCCTGAGGGAGTTTCTCCCGAGGGCTGGTTTCACTGCTGGCTCTCACACCCAGCAATACCAATAAAACCGATGATAATAATTAAGACTGTATAATCACTGTGTGTTTATTTATCCCCCAGAAGCCTCCTTTCCCTGGCCCCCATCATTACCTTTCCGGCCTTCAGCTAGATGGTGGGTGTAAACTACGGGCTCACTCTAATAAAAAGTAATAGCTGCCCGGTTTCTCCCTCCCACAACCCTGGACTCAGGCAAGCGATGGGAGCTGCTGGGCCCCGTTTGCAGAGGGCGGTGGTGGATACACAAAGCACCTCCCGCAGGATGGCAAAGACACCTCCCTCCCCACGTCCGGGTGGGGGGGCTTCTCCTTCCCTGCTGGCCCTGGCCCTGTGCCACCCGCAGAAGACGATGGCACCAAGCCTGTGTCCGTCGTCATCCAGCTACCGTCAGCACCAGGTGCCCCTGAACGGTAGCTCTCATCAAGGAGTGTCCTTCCTGTGTGGGCAGAGGATCTGGGGCAGCGGGGGCGGGAGCCCACACAGTGCCCTGGGACTGCAGGCCTGGGGTACTCATGCCCTTGTCTGCCAGGACGAGGTGGGATTCACAGTTCTGCCCTGGATCTTTCAGACCCCCACGCCAGCCTGCCAGATGTGTGAATTCAGGAAAAGGACACCCAGCTTCTCCCAGGGGAAGCACCGGCCCTTCTTCCTCTGTGCTCATCAGCATTTCCAGGTCCTTCCTGGTAGACCCACTGGTAGAAGGCCAAATTTGGGAGTCTTGGAAGAACTAGGAGACTAAACTCCCCCAATTTTTGCCTGTGCCTGGCAAAGGGGGGAACTCTCCCCATCTCCTCCCCTTCTCCGTTTCACAGAGTCAGGGGTAGCATTTATGGTCCGAGGTGCATTCATGGTCTCCTACTGGTCTCCCCCTTCTAACTCTCCTTGCAGATTTGTTTTGGATTAGGGTTACCAGTCAGACGTGTCCACCCAGCAACGTGCCCCGGGGTGCGTGGCCCCTTTAAGAAGCAGGGCGGGGGCGTGTCCGACGTCGCCCCGCCCCCCGGCAGGGCCGCACCGCGCCTGCGCGCTGCGCCCGCGCCTCGGGGTTGGGCAAAACCCGGTTCCGTGCAACTTTCAAGTGAGTTGCAAACTCCGCCCCGAGCCCGCCGCCTGCTGCCCGGCTCGCTGGCACTTGGGGGTCGTCCCCCAACCTCTCCCAGCTCTCGCGAAGGCCGTGCACGACCCTCCGCTGCTCGGCCCGGGACCCTCCACGGCCGGAGGAGCCAGTGGGTCCGAGGCAGTAACTGCCCACGCGCGCGGGGCCCGGCTCCCTGCCCCGGCCGCTGGCCGCTGGCCTCCCGGCGCCCAGGACGTGGGGCCGGCGGGCAGACCCTGCGAGCCCCCCGCTGCG